TTGAGGCACTGTACCAAGTAGGGAGTGGATTCTTTTTTATAAGAAATTATCTTTTTCAGCTTTGTGATGCAGCTTGGCAAATTATCTATGTTTATGAGCACAAGGGAAACACTAGGATCAGTTTACATTTTTTTTTATTGTTGAGATAAAATTTACACAGTTAAATGCACAGATTTTACATATACAATTTGAGTTTTAATAATTGTTTATTCTGTGTAACTATGCTTCCCCCACACCCCCATACTGAACATTGTCATCGTGGAGTTTTCTCATGCACTTTCTAGTCAGTACCGTACTCTTTCCCTATATACAACCACTGTCTATGTAGCTTTATGGTATCAGGTATCAATCCTCCAACTTTATTCTTTTTCAAGATTATCTTGACTCTTTTAAGCTCATTGCTTTTCCATATACATTTTAGTATTAACTTATCCATTTCTACAAATAAAATTGTTGGGTTTTTATGGGAATTGCATTGACACTGTAAACCAATTTGGAGAGAAGTGACATCTTAACAATATTGAATCTGTAATCCACAAACGTGGTACTTCTCTTCATCTGCTTAGGTCTTTTTCTGTTTTAGAGATGGGATCTTGTTGTGTTGCCCAGGTTGGTCTTGAACTCCTGACCTCAAGTGATTCTCCCACTTCAGCCTCCCAAGCAGCTGGGATTATGGCCACTGCACCCAGCGACTTAGGTCTTCTTTAATTTCTCTGAGCAGTATTTTGTTGTTTCAAACATTGGGGTCTGGCACATCTTTTGTTAAATTTATTCCTGAGTATTTTATGTTTTTTAATGCTATTGTAAATGGAAATGTTTTTTAAATTTAATTTTCCACTTGCTGTGGCTAGTACAAAAATATCATTTTTATATATATTGACTTTCTATCCTTTAACCTTGCTAAATTCACTTGTTGGTTTTAATAGCTGTTTTGTAGAATTCTTGTGATTTTCTAAGACAATCATGTTATCTGTGAATAGAGACAAATTTATTTCTTCCTTTGAATCTGTAGGCCTTTTATGTCTTTTTCTTGACTTACTGCTGGCTGGAACTTCTAATTAAATTTGAATATAAATAGTAATAGCAGACATCCTTGTATTGTTTCTAATCTTAGGCAGGAAATATTAAATGTTTCATTTAAGTTTGAAGTTAGCTATAGGTTTTTCCTAGATTCCCTTTATCAGATTGAAGACATTCCCTTCTATACCTAGTTTTATTTTTTAAAAAAATATTTCTTATCATGCATATATATTGAATTTTGTCAACTTTTTTTTCTGCATCTACTGTTATGACC